TTTTCTAGAATTTCCATAAAAATCTCTTTCAAGAGTTTACCTATGCTAAATTTCCATTTTGTCAGGTTTATCTAAGACGAATAGGATGGTAACTTTCACAGAAACTAGGGTTTCAATTGTGAAAGTTCCTGAGTCTCCTTTAGAAAATGAAAAATCCACATGTTGTATGCTCCTTTCATCTTGAAAAACTTTAATGTATGTTATGTGACCAGATACCAACCCAGGGCAACAGGTCAAGAATGAGAAGATTGGAGCAAATCATAATTTGGTTGTTGATTGAAAACTTCCTTCTCTCTCAAATGTGGGAGAAAACAATATCTTGCCTGCATTTATCTACATTCCATCATATTTAAAATACTATGAAAAAATTTTGAACACTAATTAGGTCTATTCATTATATTTCACCAAAGTTTAATTTATTCACAGTGAAAGAACTTTTTGTTCATTTTATCAGGATGATCATATGTCTACTCTTGGAAATTTTAGTTATATATGTTCCTGTGCCTTATACTTCTCAATTATAAATCTCAGTCCTAAAAATATACTCAAAATTTAGTTTCTTTTTTTGCATTTATCAGTGCTCTGTTTAGAAAACATTTTGACAGATCATTAGAATAAAAAAATAACAGATGAATTCTTTGCTTTTCACCAGGGAAACTAAATATGAGGCACATTCCTATTAATTACGGAATAAGCCACATCTTTGGTAACAGTATCCTAATATGTCATTTTGAGAATTTCTAGGAATCAACTGAATTCCATTACTCTTAACTATGGGCAGGCATTAGGGTCCTTTGTGCTACTCATGTGGGTGAAAACTGTGTGGTGGAAAACAGTTTTCGGCTGCAAGGGCCTTGGGCCTTCTCAGGGGGGGAATCCTCCTTGTCAAGAACGTTATGCTTTAGTTTGACTTTCATTTTACTTTATTTTGAATATGGTTTTGCTTTGTCTGAAAGTTCACAAAAAAATAATTCTCAGTGTTTAGGAAAACAATCACTGAGATGTGGGTGTTGGCACATTTAACTTGCAAGCTCTCTCGCTCTCTCCAGATGACAATATGTCTGAAATATTGCATGGGACATACTTATATGCAAAAATTGGTTGTCTATCTGAAATGCAGATTTAACTGGGCATCCAGTATTTTATCTGGAAGACCTCCTAGGGTCACAATGTATCTTATCATCCAAAAGACAAAGACACTTTTGAGAGTGAAATGGGACACTGATAGTAATTATGACAGGATAATAGGCATAAATTGGGGCTATCTGGGAAAACAGAAAAGTATGGCCAACCTAAATACAAGGTGTTTTGAAAGAATTTTTAATTACTGGTTTTAGATCTTCATAAGCAATCACATCTCTGTGTCATTAACTTGTATAACTGTTAATCTTTACAAAATGTACTGCTTTATAATTTCATATAACTGTTAATCTTTACAAAATGTACTGCTTTATAATTTCATATTAAAAATTTTATTTAGGTACCTTTAAAACTGTGGTGTCCTAACTGTTAGCTAGTGTCAACCTGGACACATGATTAAAGTTCTTTTTTTTTTTTTCCAGAAGAGTTTGAGAAGGATTAAAGAGAATTAAAGAGAATTAAAAGAATTAATTAAAGAGAATCAATTAAGAATTAAGAGAATTAAAAAGAATTAAAGAGAATTAAAGCTCTATTTCTTCATGAGTAAAATGAGGAGCCAACCACTAGTACCTGAAATTTTACAGTTCAAAATTTGTTATTTATTCTTTCTTTATATTATTTATATATGTATATTTTGCCATCAGCAGATATAACTTAACAAGAAATTCTGTGTGTTTTCAGTCTTATATTTGGCTTAATTCTTTTCTTTTAACCTAGTCTTGTTTTTCGGGATTTAGTAAGTAAACTATTGTTCATATTTAGCTTAACCTTCTTAATTGTATATATACCCTTTTATCTTTCCTTACTCAGCCTAACTAACTTCATTCTACAGATCCATCCATAAATACGTGAGTACATACTATATGCCAGCCTTTCTGCTGAGTGCTACAGTAAATGTGACATGGAATGTAAAGTAGTCATATCCTTATGGGGCTTAGAGCCTAGACTTGATATGGTAGTCTCTCCATAGCTTTGTGTATTTCAGTTGGTTTTTCTCTGTCTTTCTTATTGCTGTGTCTCCTTTAAAGTATGTTAATTAGTATGTCAGGAATAGGTGAATCATAGTTTTAAATAGGAGTTGTTAATGTTTTTTGTCTTATTCTAACATCTGTTGGTTCACAGAATTTTAGAGTTTTGGCTACATTAATGAGATGTCTTTGGGGAAACAGCTTATTTTACTGCCAGATAGTTTTCTGTGTTGCAATTTATGAGGTAGAATAAAAATGTATCAAAGTCCAATATACTTGAACTGCCTGGGACCTTTGAGCAGTGAGTTGACCCAGATAACAATTTTCCAGGTTGTTTTAAGTTATAACATTTAAAGGTTTAATATTTGATTTCTTAAAAAAAATTTCATGTATTTTCTTTCTATTATTGTTCTGAGTGTCAACACTAGTTTTATATAATAATTATTTTTAAATGTACTTTACATTGCCCTATTTTAGTAATTTTAAAAAGATATAAAATGATTTCTACTTCTTACTCACATGGTGGAAATCATGTATAGTGGAACATTATCCCTGTTTCCTAGCCACCCATTTCCTTCACAATCTGTTTTTATCAGTATTTTGTATATTCTTCCAGAGTTTGCATGTACAGATCATTATTTATATATTCTCTTTCTTTTGGCAACAAATGCTAACATATCATATATACTGTTGTGTACTTTTCTTATTTCACATAGATGATTCCTCATTAAAACATTAAGAGCTCAATTCTTTTTTCAGCTGCATAATATTCCATGCTACAAGGCTCCTACTAATCACTTCTTTTATTGTTTTCACTTGTTTGCTATTATATGTAATATTTGATAGATAGATTCTTAACATACCTCATTTTGTACACGTGCAGCTCAGTTGACGTGAGTGTGTATATCATTCCTGGAAGAGGAATTCCTAAGTCAAAGTGCATTCATGCATACTTACATTCCTTTAAAAATGGGTTTGTTTTTCTTTAGTCTAAAGACAAATGTGTTTAAGTAAAAATTTTAAATTTTTCAAGCATTACAAAAAATAAAGGGAAAAATAAATTCCCCAAGCACTCAGTCTTACTTCCCAAGTATACATTTTCTTGTCAGTCTTTTCTTGTGATTATCAATTTGCGTGATTTTTTTTCCTTTTTATTTATTTATTTGGCTAAATATTTATTTATTTGGATGAGTCAAGTCTTTGTTGCTACATGCAAAATCTTTCACTGTGGTACACAAACTCTAGTTGTGGCACGTGGGCTCAGTAGTTGTGGTGTGTGGGCTAAGTAGTTGTGCTTGGGCTCAATAGTTGTGTGTGGGGTTAGTTGCTCCAAGGCATGTGAGATCTTAGTTCCCCATCCAGGGATCGAACCTGTGTCCCACTGGATTGCAAGGTGGATTCTGAACCACTGGATCACCAGAGAAGTTCTTTTTTTTCCCCATTTTTTAAAATATAAATAAACCAACAAGGACCTACTATATAGCACAGGGAACTGTACTCAATATTTTGTTATATTGGGGCTTCCCCAGTGGCTGAGTGGTAAAGGGTCTGCCTGCAATGCAGGAGACAGAGGTTCGATCTCTGGGTCGGGAAGATACCCTGGAGGAGGGCATGGCAGCCCACTCCAGTATTCTTGCCAGGAGAATCCCATGGACAGAGGAATCTGGCAGGTTATGGTCACAAAGAGTTAGACACAACTGAAGTGTTGGACACAGCTAAAGTGAGCATAAGAGAAGAAAACCTGAAGAAGATATATATATATATATATACACACTGTACTATACAACTGAAACTAACATGATATTGTAAATCAATTATACTTCAATTAAAAATACCTATATATATATATATATATATATATATATACTACTATGGCTTCCCATTATGTATATACCATAATTTATCCATTAAGTTCCTTATTGGTGGGCATTTAAGATGTCTCCAGATCTTTTTTTATACTACAGGCTAACTACAGTAGAAAATTTTGTAGATGTCTTTGCATACATATGGATGTGTTTCTATTGGATAGATTTTTAGAATTAAGGAATATATGCATTTTAAAATTTTGTTAGTTTTACTAACTGCTCTCCAAAAAGATAGTTTTATTTTATGCTTCTATCAGTATGTCTTTGCTAACTATGGCTGTTAAACTTTTTAACATTTGCCAACTTCAATTCAGTTCAGTTCAGTCGCTCAGTCGTGTCGAACTCTTTGCGACCCCATGAATCGCAGCACGCCAGGCCTCCCTGTCTATCACCAACTCCCAGAGTTTACTAAAACCCATGTCCATTGAGTCGGTGATGCCATCCAGCCATCTCATCCTCTGTTGTCCCCTTCTGCTCCTGCCCCCGATCCTTCCCAGCATCAGGGTCTTTTCCAATGAGTCAACTCTTCGCATGAGGTGGCCAAAGTATTGTAAGGGGCAAAAAGGAATTATTAGAATTTCTTGTATTATGGTTGATTTTGATGCCTGTTTCTTTTCTGTATATTACTATTTGTGTCCTTTCCCATTTTTCTTATGGGTTGTTTGCTTTTTTATTGATTTGTAAGTATATCATCTATGGAGAAATTAATCTGTGGCCAAGTATGTTACAAATTCTTTCTCAGTTTTTTTTTTTCATTTTGTTTGTAAATATACTTTGACCCAAAAATATAATTTGACCCTAAAGAGATGAGAAGGAGGTGGGGAGTGGTGGGAATGAATTAATAGAGGATCCAAAGCAAACTACTAAACAATTTTTTAAATAAGAAAAATAACATGACAAAAATAATATAATGCCTTTTATCTCCTTAGAGGAAAGAAGATATATTAGAGACTGCACAGTATTTAGTATGTATGAAGTATAATAGCCATTCTGCAAATATATTTATTTTTTATATTTTTCCTTCCAGAGGTTCTGTCAGCTATGATTAGTGTGCTGTTGGTGTATATACTTATGGGGTTTCTCCTCTATGAAGCTGTCCAAAGAACCATCCACATGAAATATGAAATAAATGGAGATATAATGCTCATTACCGCAGCTATTGGAGTTGCAGTTAATGTGATGTAAGCTGTATTTTTAAAAAAATTTAATAGGCTTTATTTTTTAAAGCAGTTTTAGGTTCACTGCAAGCACTTCTCATATGTATGCTATCCAAACACATGCATAGCCTCCCCCATTATCAATATCCCCCACTAGGGTGGTACACTTGTTTTCAATACAAGCCATGAGCTCTACACTGACACATCATTACTGCACAGAATCCATAGTTCACGTGAGGGTTCACTCTTGGTGTTAAACTCATTCTATGAGTTTGGACAAATTTATAATGACACTATCTACCATTATAGTATCACAATCTATATTGTGTTCACATTAATATTTTCAAGTACTGTGAACTTAGAGACTATTGTGTATGCATTCAATAATGTGCAGTGATATTTTAATATATTTTGAAGTTTTATAGTACATTAATTTTTCTTCTAAATGTTAATAAAATACTGTTGTGAAATTATATAAGTTTCTCATGGGTTTGCCCAGGTATACTGAAGTTTGACTAATAATCAGGAATTTAAGTAGGACAAAGTTTTTAAAATAACTTTTATAGTATTTTTTTTTAATAAGTTTTTCTAACTACCAACTTTTTCCTAAAAACTACAAAATCTTTAATACTTACTTAATCATTTGGACCAAGGTTCAGTAAACTTTTTCTGTAAAAGGACCAGATAATAAATACGTGAGGCATTGAGAGCCTCTTTTACATATACTCAGCTCTACTGCTATAGAACAGAAGCACCCCCATTTAGTATCTAAACAAATGAGCATGGCTGTGTTCCAATAAAACTTTATTTGCAAAAGAAAAAGAAAAAAATGTAGTAAAACAGGAAGTGAGCCAACCATGGTCTACAGACTCTGGTTTGCCAGTCCCTGTGCTAATGGCCTCCATTCATACTTAGAATAAAATCAAAACATTTTACTGCAGGCATTTTGTTAGATCCTGTGTACCTCTACAGCTCACCTGCTAGCATCCTGGTTACTTTATTCTAGCCACAATGGCTGTCTTGCTTTTTAAAGCACATAGAGCATATTTTCATCTTAGGGCCTTTGCCCTGGTGGTCCTTCTGTCTAGAACACTTTTCCACCACCACTTACTTCCTGACTTCATTCAAGTCTCTACTCAGAATCCTAGTGAGGCCTTTTCCCATCACTCCCCATCACTCTCCATCTCCCGGTCATGCTTTACTTTCTCTTCAAAGCATTCACACTGTCAACCAGTACATTATGTATTTATTTGTTAATTCTCTGCCCTCTCTACTGGAACATAAGTTCCATGGGGATATGTCTGCCTTACCACTATTTTGACCCCAACACCTAGAACAGTACTTGATACATAATAGGCACTCAAATATTAATTAAATGAATGAGTTTCATGTTGCCTCATTAGTGCCTGACTAGTAACAAATATTTTAATCAATAATACTAGAAAGAATAATAATCTTTTCTTTTATTCTTAACAGAATGGGGTTTCTGTTGAACCAATCTGGTCACCATCATGCCCATTCCCACTCCCTGCCCTCAAATTCTCCTACCACAGGTCCCAGATGTGGACAAAACCAAGGGCAGGATAGCCTGGCAGTAAGAGCTGCATTTGTACATGCCTTGGGGGATCTGGTACAGAGTGTTGGTGTGCTAATAGCTGCATACATCATACGATTCAAGGTAACATAATCGCTAATTCTTCTATTTTAAAATGCTTGTAATTTCATCATTAAAAATGACTGGACTTCCCTGGGAGTCCAGTAGTTAAGACTCTGTGCTTCTAATGCAGGGGGCATGGGTTTAATTCCTTTTTGGGAAACTAAGATTTCACATGCTGTGCGGCTCGGCCAAAACGAAAAACAAAACTAAAGGTGACGACTCTCTTTTATTGGTATACTAGACACCAACACCAGTCCTATTCATTTTGCGTTATGCAAACATACATGAACTATCAGTATCGCTCTTTTAGTAGCACCAGTCACAATAGTATCACCTCAAGGGATAACTTATCTATTGGTTTTGGTGGTGCTTTCCCTGAAAAACTCAATTTTAAGCTTTGTCACTCAACTACTAGGTACTGGAATATATACCGGAATGAAAATACAGAGATCTGGGTTCTAGTGTTGGCTCTGGCTGTAATGCTTTGACCTTAAGCAAGTCCCCCAGCTCTAAACTTGAGTTCCCTCCACTTTAATACGAGGGGCTTAGACCAGATGGATGGCTGCTGAAACTCCTTTCAATTCTGATAGTCTGTGGCTTGTGGGTGGAAGATTTAGAGGAGGCACAGAGGAAAACAGTGGAACAAATGGCTAAACTTATGGAAATGGGTTTCACAAAGAACAGTAGACATTTCTCGATTGGCAATATCCAAGTTTTAAAAAAATGCTCCAGTCCTGCTAAAGAAGGGACAGAGTATGCCTTGCTTTGCTTTTCAGACTTGTTTTATATCTGTTTGCATTTAATCACACAATTTTGATTTGTCTCTTTTCAGCCAGAATACAAGATTGCTGATCCCATCTGTACATATGTGTTTTCATTACTTGTGGCTTTTACAACCCTTCGAATCATATGGGACACAGTAGTGATAATTCTAGAAGGTAAGGTCTCTGTTATCCCCATTGTGGGTTTATTATTTCCCTAAATCAGATTGGGGCTGTTGGCAGGAGGGATTCTCTAGGGTAGGAGTCATGTCTTTCTTTTTACTAATACTTCTTAGTCTATAATACCACCTTACATGAAAAAACATACAAGAATCAATGCACTCTCCCATTTATTGCCCATTTGATCTTTATAATAGCCAAGAAAAGTAGACAAGGCAGACATTATTATCCCCATTTACCAATAACAAAACTGTGGCACAGTGGGGTAACATAACTTCATTAAGGTCATGCTGCTAATAAACTGTGGAGCTAGGACAAGAATGCAACTCATAATTCTTAATGTAGTTATGTGTAGTAATTCATGTGTTAAGTCTGTAATTCCCATTTAACTTGCTATTTCAATTTCCAGCATTCCTGCCTTACTGATACTAAGTATAAGCATGTAACCATGAGTTCTCAAAAGTAGGTTTATCATCATTGTATGTTCCTTTTTCTTTTTCATCTATCCTAGCTTATTTTTTATTAAAGTATTCTGATTTGGTTGACATTTCTTTTTGGTGTGCATTTTTTTAAGTATTTATTAACCTCTTGTGTATATCCTGCTATATATATGCATAGTTTATATTAAAGTTTTAATATAATTTAAATATTAATTTAAACTGAATTAGGTAAACCCATTTGGTTTCTTTTCTTTAAAAATGTCATATTAGTGATATATAACTTTTTTCTTAAAATAGCCTTTATTTATAAATGATCCATTCTGAATAGGTGTACCAAGCCATTTGAACGTAGACTATATCAAAGAAGCTTTGATGAAAATAGAAGATGTACATTCAGTGGAAGATTTAAATATCTGGTCTCTCACTTCAGGAAAACCTACTGCCATAGTACACATACAGCTAAGTATGTTGCTGACGGTAAATGCTGGGGTTGGTGGACTTCTATCTTTGGAATTTAACAACTGTCCTTAGGAGTAAATAGGAAGACTTTTCTGCTGGAAAGATTTATTTTAAGGGAAGGGTGAAGCTCTTCAAAAGGTGAGTTGCAAGTCAATATAATGATAGCAGAGCAATCATATTCTCTCTGATGAGATATTACAGATTGATTTTTTGCCTTCAGATGAAAGGCATAAAGTATATTTACCATGTTTTTTCTATATAGAAAAAGCTAGACTCTGTGTTTTTATTTAAACATTTCACAGATTGATGCTTTTTATTTTTTATCAAAATAATACATGCTTATGGCTTTTTTAAAAAGACTACAAAAGATGAAAGACTTGCAATTGATGTCTAGTGTTCTTTCTCTACGAAAGAGTGGACTAGAAAAATTGGAATAAGAAGAAGTCGTTCTGGCTTTGTGAACTGAAACACTTCTCTAAAAGAATAGCTTCAAGAGGGTAGAATTCAAACTAATAAAAACATGTACACAGAATAGTATGATTGTTTTTTTGCCCCTTATCTTGTTCACTAATATGTAACTGTGTGCAGTGAATAGTAATGATATTTTCTTGATATTGCAGTTCCTGGAAGTTCATCTAAATGGGAGGAAGTACAGTCCAAAGCAAAGCATTTATTATTGAACACATTTGGCATGTATAAATGTACTATTCAGCTTCAGAGCTACAGGCAAGAAGTGGACAGAACTTGTGCAAACTGTCAGAGTTCCAGTTCCTAACTGTGTATATAGGGGAGACTGCTGCCTTATTTATCCTGCAGTCACAGATGTGAGAGCAATAAATGCACACCTGAGTGAGAAATGGAATCCCTGACGGCTGTGTCACTATCAAGCACCGGTCTCTCAAAACAGACACTCCAGCCTGACAGTGGTAGTTTCTGTTTAATGGTAAAATGAGACTTCACCATGATTCTCATATGAAGATGTTTTTAAAACACTGTTTACAGAATGAGACATGACTCTACAGATACCTCATAGAAGACAATCCAAGACCGTACTTCACTAATTATGACAGTACATGTCTTAAAAGAAAGCATCAAGAATTCAGTATTTGCATTTAAAAATCCTTTTTAAAGACCATTTTTATATCAAGCCAGTGCTGGAAAACTGTTTTTTTTTATTATGTAATCTTGAACCCAGCTTCTTGAATTTGACACCCAGCTCTCTTTTTACCAAAATTATTTCTCAAAGTACTACTAATTATCCAGAGAGTGGAATAAGCATGTATTCCTAGAGTTTCAGAAATGTTTTATTTCACAAATAAGTTCAAATCTTATTGTTATAATTTGTAATCAACTATTTCTAGATAGTACCGGGTTTTGTATGTCAAAGTTAGCATTTTTGGTTATTTATAATCTTATCAGAATCAAATATTAACATATTGTGGCCACTGATTCTAAATTGTTTAGGAGATATTTTCTGTGTTATTCTGAATAGGAGAAGTGAATCATAAACTCAAATTATAATATGATACTTTGAAACAAAATTTAGGAGTGAGAATGGGGTGTGGGGTTTCAGATTTAAGTCTTCCTGAAATCACTTATTCGTGGAATTATTTTAAGAACAGCAAGAGACTGCAGAAGGTAAACAGTGACCCTCTGTCCTTTTAAGAACTGCCTTGCTTTTTGTATAGGAAGTTTGCTCAGCACCTTCCTTCCTGCTTCCATACCAGTTAATCTGTGGGAGCCCTTTCAGGGTAGAACTCTGGGAAACTAAGTTTCAGCGTGCCCTCCACCTCTCATGTGTAGACCAACCACCTTCCTCCAGGAAGAATTTTGGATCAATGGTATGGGTTAGGGATTCTCCATGGACTCCAGAAATCCTAGGATATAATTTTGAAGTTTTTCCAATAATAGTATCATAACAGAAATGCCCAGAGGGATTGGGGGAAGATATTACTCTGAGAAGACAAAATTTTCAAGGGTCTTTGACCTTGTATGTTCTTGTGTTTTGAAGCAGGGGAATGGGGATAGACATTAAATCTGTTGTGGGGAGGCTAAGCATTAGTTTTCAGAGCAGAGGCAACTAATTGGTAACGATTGTGTTAAAGAGGCAGCTGTGAATATTCATGTTTCATTTTGCAACTGTTGGTTTTGAGATTATCTTTATACATGTTACAAATCCATTTTCAAGAACAGTTTCTTATACCAAGAAAAGATACGGTCCTTTGACTCCTCAGAATCAGAGCAGAGCAGCAGTGTACCAGGCAAGTTGTGAACTGAAATCCTAGATGGGCATGCAGATGACTCCTGATATAAATGAACAGGACACACACTTTATCTTTCTGCCAAATACCTCTCTATGTAATGAGCCTAAGATAAAACCTGGATTTACCCCAAAATTTATTGTTGACGGTATCCAGTAAAAGGGTTGATGAGGATTAATGGTTCCTAATAAAACCTTGTGTTTGTTGAATTGAATATTAACTTTATGAGAATCTTACTGTGAATATATTTAAAATAATGATTTGGATTTTTCAAAAATTTCAATAGCACATAAGCTGTTGAAATCAAAATAAATATAAAATTAAAATACAAAGGGCAAGTAAGAATAAATGAGAGGCATTTCAGTGGACATATGGGCACTTGTAGACTTTGAGCACCTAGCAAGAGAAGGGAAAAGAATATGCATTAATGCTAATTATGCTAATGGTTTCCCGGTATTTGCAAATTGTTCCTCATAGCTACCCAGCTTGTTTCTTATAAATTTTCCTTTATCTTAAATAGCTATACCTGACTTTTCATAATGACCCATTCCTTGGAAAGTTACTTGATGAAACAGTCTGAAATACATTTGAGGATTGAAAGGATCTTTTTGTAAAACGCAAAGACCAAAAACTTTTGTAAATCTTATAGTGTTCTCCTTAAAATGAGAAACATGAAGTTTTCCTATGCTTTGCTTTTTGTAGCAAGGACTATAGACTTTGTACTGGTACTTCACTGGGAGTATAAGATTTGAGGATTGATAGATTTAACTTGTAACTTCATAAGATCCACAGAGAAGGATATAAACTTAGCATATATGACCAAGAATTGCAAAGTTGGTCTGTCCTTCCCCCGCCTAGTTACAGCCTGTAGTTATACTCCTCAGCCAGCTCTCAAAAAGGGCTCTCCATTGTCCAGCAAAGGCGGTGGCTGTATGTATGAACACCTAGCATTATTAATTTTGCATAAGGAAAACAAATCACAACATAAAAACTGGACAGTTCTTCAGTGAGGTGTATTTTAGTTATCATTTGCAAATAATCAGAGTTACATATGTGTATAACCTGTGTTTCACTGCTCTGGCCAGATGCAGCATTTTGACTTTTATGGCCCATTTCATTAACAACCATGCTGCTTTAGAAATATAACATGGGGAATATAGTTGCATAGGCATATTTCAGAGGGCTTTGAAATGCAGAACCAGAAGCGACTAAATTCCTTCATACATTTTGCATTAGCTATTCCTTGTGTGACGTGAGCCTGGATTTTCACAACTTGCAGCTCCCATCAGTATTGTTTGCCACATCACTGGATTTCTTATTTCACTGTTTTCCATTTTGGGTGCTTTGTTCCCATTTCCTAAAACTAGTTTCCTGCTCTTAGGAGTCTCAGTGTTCTGGTTCTGTCTCTTGAGCCCAGGTGTTCTCACGGAGTGTTTGTCTTCAGTAGAATTTTCCCAGAATAGACACAGGATCAGGTATATGAGCTTCCCTTTCATTTTAATGTGAGGAAAAACCATCCTTCAGAGACAAAGCACCACTTACAAATGTGTTTCTGGGTAGGGCAGAACCTTTGTTTAAGCTGCTGATTGTTCCTGATCCGAGTTTCTCTGCACGCCGAGTTTTATGCTAAGTGTGGTAGAAGTAGATGCACTGCACAATCACAAGCCAGGATCACTGCTGAGATTCACACAACCACTCTTACCACAGAGAAGCGTTCACTTCTGAAACAAGCACAATTAATGTATTTTCTAAATGTATTTTCTTCAGTTGGTCAACGAAATAAGGTGTTCTTATATAGAATTTGAGCCCCTTTGGAATGAGGTTTTAGACACTTTTGCTGTTGCCTCTGCCTTATGTATATTATAGTAAATTTAAAGTTACAGAATGTGTTCACAAGACTAGTTCATCGGGTTCAGTTTGTCTTTGAATCAAGCTTCACTTGGGTATTATTAGTCACAAATGTATAGTGACACTTTGCTGTATGCTTTGTTGAGGGGAGGCCAGCTTGATCCCCAAATTGTTGTTATGCCTAATGTCTCTCTGACCACAATATCATTTGCAAACCCTGGCTACAGATCTGTCCTGTGAATCCCACCAGACAGGGCTTCACATTTATGTTACAGATCGCTAGCCAGGGATATTGCTTGTGATGCCAGTAGGAGCACACAAATTGTAGAGAAGAACTATCATGGGAAGTCCTCAGGGTTAAATTGTATGTGTGCCCCTCTGTTACACATTCCAGCCAGCCGGTCATTGAATTCTCGCTTTCCAAAGATTTAACTCATTCTTCTAGTCATATTGTGATGACCAACAAACATTTTCTAATTTTTGGTTAGATTGGAAGACACTTAAGAAGACTTTCCCAGTTAAACCTATGACAGTGTCAATTTAAATATTGCAATTAAGTATATTCTGAAATAACTGCAACAAAATTGAAATGTGCCAGTATGTCAACTTTGCACCTGAAAGATAATGTATATTTGGAAAGCTTATGCTTCTCTAAATAAATACATGTTAATAAGTAAGCCATATCACACTTTAAGAAATTGTATATACTTTCCCATATACACTTTCAGAAACCAGGTATTTTGCATAATGGCTGATTTTTAGAAAGATTTTGAAGCTGGAGTCTGTCCATGTAATTTAAAATCCAACTATAGTATATGTATATGTACTGAATTTGCAATCTTCAAATTATAATTTCCTATACATTTATTAAAGTATTGTTTTGCCATGTGGTTTATTAAAAAAGTGAAAGTGTACAGTGCCTTAAATTTCTAGGTATTTAAAATCAAATAATCATAGTAGGCCTCAAAATGTAATCTTCATAGAAAGAAAAACATTGGAAAATAGATTTTAAGCTATCTAGTTTTAGAATCTCTAATTTAATGTCCTCTTAGATGTTTAAGAAATAAACCTGAAGAAAATCTTCCAGAGAGGACAAAAGAGAGATTGAAATAACCTTTATCTTTTTATATCTGTCACTTCTTAAAAAAATTTTTTTTGGCCATGCTACATGCAGGATCTTAGTTCCCCAACCAGGGATGAACCTAGACCCCTGCAGGGGGAGTGGGGTGCCCTAACCACTGGACCTCCAGGGAATTCCCATATCAGCCCCTTTTGATGTCCCTGCAGCCCAGCAACAACGGCACAAAGGAAAGAAAGAAGCTGCTGTGGGAGTCAGTTTGGTGAGGCCCATTGGAAAGTGAGCTCAATGCCCCAAGGACCTCCAACCGTTTCTGACCAGGGCTCAGACACCACACCTCACTGGCCCATCTGCCACAATCTGTTTGTATGGCCCAAGTTGCTGAGGGTGGTTTCCTCATTTTTTAATGTTAAAAAATCTTAATAATATTTCATGATGTGAAAATTACATAAGGTACACTTCAGCGTCTGTAAATAAAGTTACTTGAACACAGCCACAGTCATTCAACCACAGCTGCACTCATGCTACAGTGGCAGAATTGAGTAGTTGTGATAAATATATTTACTGCTTGTCCCTTCATAGAAAGTT